TTTAAAATTGAATGTCATTTATTATTATTTTACTTGTACATATATACTGGGCACAGAGTGATATTTTGATACAGTGTGTTCTGATCAAATCAGGTTAATTATGACTTCCATATCTTTAAACATTTATCAAGAGCATTTGAGATATCCCCAAGTTTCCAGGAACAGACTGTAGGCCCTGTTTCAGCTAGCCCAGCCCAAACCCTTTCCTTTCTGATAGACACAGATTCTTGTAGCTTGTCCAGGACTCCTAGGTGGCCTGGCTGCTAGCACTGTGGATGAGATCTCCTTTGGCTGTCCCTTACTGCTGAAAATGTTGTCAATCAGTTGAGGGTTCTTTTACTCAATTCAGATGGAAATCATGAATCAGCCAAGTGCAGTTCTGCTAGCACTCCTGATGTCATTGAATGACAACAGTCGCCCCAGCCAGCTGTTGGTCTCTGTAGTTGTCAGCTGTTACCATCTGATGCTACCTTGTGCTAGACACCATGGGTTGATGTTGCCAGCTGTGAGGTTATTGATGTTGCTGGTTGTCACCATGGAATGCCAGCTTGTGCTGGGCACTATGGTTTTTGTTAGCTGCTGTTCTTGATTGTGTGCTGGTCTCTGGAGCTCTTCAGTGTTAACAGTTCTTTTTATTTACTTTGTTCCCACTACTACTGAGTAGATTTACGGGACTTTTGGTGCCCACATTTCTTCAAAAATAAATCATCTGCAGGTTTACAGAAACATCAAAGCAAGTCTTATTTTAACAGGGCCTGTGCTGCAGCATGAGGGGTGCTAGTATACAGGAGGGAGCCCTCCTTGACTAAAACCCAAGGAGTACCTGGAAAGTGCTACTTACATGGCAGCTCACAGACCTGTTTCAGTGAGGGTGAGGGCTGAAACCAGGGAATCTTTTGGAAGGCTTGCTTTGAATGCTGGCTATGCAAATAAGAGGCCCAGATCCCTTCCTTCCTGATCTTAGCAACTCCCAGGTTCACCTTCTGTTTTTAAAAATCCACCAGTGTGAAACGAAGTGGCTGGAATGGGACAGAGACCCCACACAGCCTATCTGCACTCATGTTGGAGTGGAGAATAGCAGTTTGATAGTAAGGGAAGACACCAAAACACACTGTCCTTGTCCATAGTCCATTGGTGTTCAAGGGAGAGCAAAGGAGAGCAAGGGGCAGAGGTAGACAGACAGTGGCTAAACCACATCCCTCTCCAACTGGCAGGGGAAAATGAGAGCATCAGGCACTTCTCATGTCTCAAAAGGTTTCCTCCCTCCCTCCTTCCCTGCCTCTCTTCTGCACTCTGGTTTTGTTGGTTGATGGGAACAAGGCTGAACACCTCCCTAACATCTGTTTATATCTCTAGTGTGCACCCAAACAGATGGGCAAGGAAAGCATCACCTTTGACCTAAACTGTGAGGGTCTGTATCTCCCACACTAGGACTCTGCCTGGCTTTGTTAGGGCTGGTGGGATCCCTGAGCTGAGATCTGGTCAGCACGAGGTGATGGGAGAGTCCTCTGTGTTTTGCAACCTTCCTTTTCTTCCCAAGAAGGGATAGTGCTATGGACTAGGGACAGTCAACAGAAGAGAGAAACTTGTCAGGAACGGTTAGAGATGGAAAGAAAGGAAGTTAGAGGCCTTCTGAGAGACAAAGAGGGGAGAAAGTGGCCTTTACATTTGAGATGGATAGGGGAAGGAGACAAGGATGCAGGCAAGCTGCTTATTTGAGGGAGACTATGAAACGGGAAAAATCAATAAAAGGCCTTATCAGGCAGGTGACACTGGGCACTCAATTCCACTGCAAATGGCACTCAATTCCACTGCAGAATCTGAGAGATGGAATGTGCCTAAGAGGCACCACACCTGAAGGGGAAGCTAATGAGGGGACTGCTTTTTCACGACTCCCCTGTCAACTGTGGAAATATCAACTTCATGGCTTTTTTGCCTTATTCAAGGAGTAGGTGGATATAAAATCATATTATATGCATGGACAAGTATGCAAAATGAAACTCATGATTCTATACAACTCATGTGTACCAATAAAATCTTTTTTGAAAAGGAAAGAGAGATGATAGAGTGAGGGAAAAGAGAGATGATGACTCTACAGATGGACAAGGGAGGCGGGGAAAGAGGTGGGAAGAAGGGTAGAGAGTAAAAGAAGGGAGAGAGGAAAGAGGAAGAGAGAACTGTCCATCAAGTCAATGCCCCTAAGCATCCCTCACCTTTGATATTTTTGCCACTATTTTATTTGTATGTTTGGAGTACATGGTGTTTGCATTCATCTCAGGGAGTGAGAACATGTACTGAATATATCTTGATTCTTTTTAATTCCCTTTCCCTCCCTACTGACAACTCTTCCTCTCTCTAGATCCTCTTTCCTTATTATTATTGTTGTTGTTGTTACTTCACGTTTGTGACATACAAGATTACATTCATTGAGGGTACTTGGTGCATGTACACAGTGCATCTTAAATCTTTTTACACCTCCTTTCACTCCCCCACCCCATCCCCACCCTGAGACTCTTGGCCTTCTACACATTTGCAAAAGATCAACCTCCCTGTTCCCTTTTATTAATCTTTTATCTTGGTCTTTTTTATACTTTGGATTACTCAAATGAGAGAAAGCATAAATAGCTATCCTAATTTCTGACAAAGTGGATTTCAAGCCAAAACTTGATCAGAAGAGAAAAAAAGGTCACTACAAATTGGAAGGTACCTACAAGGGGAGTAGCTGGGTCAAGTGGAATTTCTATTTTTAGTTTTTTAAAGAATATCCATAGTACAATATCTCTCAATTATAACTATGAATGTTAATGGCCTCAATTCACCAATCAAAAGAAACAGACTGACAGAATGGATTAAGAAGCAAAACCCAGCAATATGCTGTATACAAGAAACACACCTAACTCAAAAGGAAATCCATAGACTGAAAGTAAAAGGATGGA